CACCATATATTTTAAAGAATCTGGTTGGTTCTGTAAAGTATAGGTCTGTTACAAATACTATGGCTGTGATCCTAAAGCTAGTGTTGGCTACTATCGAGTGTCACTTTCTTACTTTTTGGTGTTTGTTGGTGTGTATTGACCAAAAGTCATGATATCTAATGAAAAGCACCTTAAGTGTGAAAAAAAGGTGCGGTTAAAAAGTATTGAAACCAAAATTGGCAGACAAACTGGTAGCTACACGTATAGTATTGATGAAAATTGTACAACAAATATTCATTCATTATTTAGCCAGACTGCGTTTTTAATTCAACTTGGGGCATGTTGGTGTTATTTTTAAATATATATTCCAATTAAAAACTTAAAAGATTTTGAAAGGCATCCATTTATCAAATCAAATAAAAAATTAGTTTTCTTTGCGAAAACCTTTTATACCAGATATTATAATAATTATTAAGTGTATTGAAAACTATAAGGTGTAAAATGACCATCTACATTATTGAAAACCATAGAAAATCCTATTCTTTAAGGCTGTAAGGCCCAACTTGAGTCCGCATCCAGCCCACACACTTATGATTAGGCACATGTTACATTTCAAGTCATGAATTACAAATGATTAATTGGTAAATCAATTTGAAAATGAAAATCCCATTGCAGTAAGTCATGGCCTTCCGACGTTTCCATTCCTTAGTCTGCCTTCAGTAAATAAAAAATGTTAGACCATTTAAGATATTCTCGAGTAAGGTGACTAGTAAACGGACGATATGGAGTTTGTTGTTTGTAGTTTCATATAAGATTATTCATGTTTTTTACGATATATTAGAATGGATCATGGAACGGACTGATAGCAGAAATTTTAGAAGAGCGAGCAGATGCTGTTGTGACAAGTTTCAAGATGAATTCCGAACGTCAAACAGTTCTGGACTTTACAGTTCCCTTTATGGAAACCGGAATAACACTCGTCGTGGCTAAACGAACTGGGATTATTTCACCAAAGGCATTTCTTGGTGAGAATTACCTAACTACACATTTAATACCTTTTTTTTTTGCCACTGTTATTTCTATGATATATGATGTCTTTTTCCCGTAAAAAAACAAAAACAAATAATATTAATCTTGCCATTTGGTATTTCTACTGCATGATCAAGATTTTATCATCTAAATTTTTGGTCTACTGAAGGAAAAATGTACAAAATGTCAGTTTTAAAATTTTATGTTATAATTACTTATAACTATTCAATTCTCCCCCAAAGAAAAATTTAATTACACAACGAGAAGACTCGTCGAAATACTGTAAAGTAAACACATATTATGCTAATCATTTTCACGTTACATAATCTACTGCTTTAGGTATATTTCTATAGAATCATTTTATTTCATTGTCACCAGAAACTTACCGTCAAATGTTTCGTTTTATTAACTAATGTGTTATTAATTTCCTAGACACAGTGTGTTGTTAGTCTATAACTACCATGGACTTCTACTGCCTTGATGATTGTGTTTGGACCTCAACATTCAAAGCAAGTTATTTCTATAACATTCATTCAGACTAGGTGTTTTCTATTCTAATACTAAACTGGCCTGCTTTCTAATAGAAATAAAGCATGGAAATTATGCACACATTTAATACTTTTACGTTTTTCAGAACCTTTTGACACGTTATCCTGGCTACTCATCCTATTGGTTAGTATCCAGGTTGCTGCCTTCGTCATCTTCCTGTTCGAATGGCTAAGTCCTTTTGGATACGATATGAAAATGTCGCCTCCAAGAGGTAAAGTTTTTTCGTATTTTCCCTAAAAAATATCTAGTGTTTTTCTATATTCAGAAAACAAAAGTTTAACAAGAAATGAAAAACGGGCAAAGAAGACAGCAAACCAGGGAATTATTATGGCTGTAACTTTTGCTAGGTTCAGAAAATAAGAATGCCATAGTAAATAAACCAAAGTGTAATATCGTTATACAAATTTTAAAATTACACGAGGTTCTGAACAGTTGGGAAACTTTTTGCTAAGATTATAATGAAAACAACTGAATAAACGTTTTTGCATGTTTCTTTTTCTCTTTGGTAAATTTTATGAAGAGCAGAAGAAGCTACTTAAATGTTGTTTTTTTTTAATTTCGCGCAAAGCTACACGAGGGCTATCTGCGCTACCCGGTCCTAATTTAGACTAGATGAAAGGTAGCTAGTCTTCACCACCCACCGCCAACTCTTGGGCTACTCTTTTACCAACGAATAATGGGATTGACCGTCACATTATAACGCCCCCACGGCTGAAAAGGCGAGCATGTTTTGTATGACGGAGATTCGAACTTGCGACCATCAGATTGCGAGTCGAGCGGCTTAACCACCTGGCCGTGCCGGTCCTCTATTTAAATGAGTCTCAGTTCAAAATATTACAAACTAAAACCATAATAGGAGTAAGTTACTGTTCATAGGCAACGTTTTATCAAAAAATAATAGGTAAAATAAGTATTTTTGTTGATGTATGCCCGATACTGGTTTAGAATATCAAAGCATGTCATTTAAAACATTATATAAATATACTAAAATTTCGATATCCACTTTTTAAAAGCACACGTGGCTACTCAAAAAATACTTCCGTCAGACTATCTTATAAATGTAAAGTAAGTAAATTAAAGGCATAAAAAAACATTGTGACCGATCATTTACTGATTTAGTGTAAATTGAATGTGGGGATATATTTTGTTGTTGCTTTTTTACTGTAATGTTTTGAAGTTAACTGATAATTTAAAAACGTAGAAAATTGACTTCCACTGAAATGAAAACTACCCAATCATTTTTTTTTTATCCATGATGAAATGATCAAAGAGACGATATTATAACTTGCTAGTTCAGTTCTTTGTTTACAAGAAAAATTTAAAATGAGTCACTAAATTTAGCGAATGCATTTGGCTTGGAAATACACTTGAGAAAAAACAATGAAGACTACAGATAATGCTGTCATGTATCTAGAAACTAGTTAAAATATAAAATATGATTAGTCAAATATATGACCGTTAAATATTAACCATTATCTAAAGAATACGTTAAGAGTTTTAAAATTCAGAATATTTGCTTGTTTTGTTTTGTAACACAAATCTTTACTTAATATTCTGTTATGTAAGAATCATTGTCAAAATAAATATCAAACCCAAATAAGTTTATTTTTTCTTTTCCGTTACTGTGTTGACTGGCCACAATAATAACGTGAATTCAACACGGCTTAAGCTAAAAAAAATAAAGAGCTATCACTACATGCTCTCCGAACCTGTTTTTTGACAACAAGAGATCCGCGGATTGTTACATTATCATCTTCGCATTTGTAAGGTTTTTTTTATGATAGTCAACAAAATTCATTACTGCTACTCTTTTAAGGGAATCAAAAAGCACAACCAACCGTTCCTCATATGTCCAATAGGTTGAATTGTGGGAACAGCTCCTGCATGGACAAAATTTTTATGTGGTTTTTCTCTATATTTTACCCTACTGTTAGCATAAAATAGTACAGACTACAGCATATCCTTCCAGTCCCTTTGAAATCATACCTTTTTTTTGCTCCTGATATAAGAAAACTTACATTAAGAATGAACATTAACTTCCATATAACAATTTTATAATGTCCATCGCACGCTCGGTTGGAAATAACCATATTCAAATTACTATCAAAATAATTGGGTAACTGGGACAATATCTGATTGTTAATGCACTCACTATAAGTCCTGTTTAATAAACGTTTGGAGACGGTTTGACTGGGGAATGAAAAAACTTTATTATAAATGTACGTCATTTCGATAACATTATGTCATCGTCAGGTACAAGTAGTTTACAGTGACACATGAATTATATATACAGTATGAAACAAAGAGGTCACATGACTGGAGATTGCTAGTATAGGTACCTATCTTGGTACCCTGGGGTGTTGGCTTAGGGTGGAGGTGTTTTGTTCAATTAAGATAGCTTCCTTTATTCTGCGTTTATTGCTATTTTGTTGATCGAGACACTTACACAGATAATAGAGTTACAGTTATAGTAGAAAACTATAATACTACATTTTTATTTCTCAATAATAAAAGGCAGAGTAGACTGAACATTTCTAAAGGTCTTTTTCTTAAATTATTTTAAAAATCATCGTTCCCATGTTCGATCAATAAAGTAACGCTACAGAGACATCATCCATGTAAACAGAATATAAATTAGTGTTATAAAAGTTCTCTCAGCATATTCTGTTTGTTTGAAGTTAAGCACAAAGCTACACAATGGGCTCTGCCCACCACGGGTATCGAAACCCGGTTTCTAGCGTTGTAAGTCCGCATACATTCCGCTGTGCCACTGGGGGCAGTATATTCTGAAAGTTCTTTCAGATGAATGCTTCCTTCACCTATGAACAAATATATCCACGAGGCCGTGTAACTTCAAAGAGACATTTGAAGTGAGTGTACAACGTTTCCTCAAACAATACCTCTGAAACCAACACCAAATGTAGAAAGCTTTAAAAAAAGGATCTGCTTAGTAACTGATGAAAGGTGTGGCACGACCTGGTGGCTAGGGTGTTCGAATCACAATCTGAGGGTCGCGAATTCGAATCCCCGGCACCGAGCATGCTCGCGCTTTCAGCCTTGGGGGCGTTATAATGTGGCAATCAATCCCACTATTCGTTGGTAAAAGAGTAGCCCAAGAGTTGGCGGCGGGCGGTGTTGACTAACTGCCTTCTCTCTAGTTTATTACTACTAAATTAGGGACGGCTAGCGCAGATATCCCTCGTGTAGCTTTGCACGAAATTCGAAACCTCCGAAACCAAAGTAACTGATCAATATAATATTGTTCCTGTAATTTTTTGTTGTCCCCAAGATAAAAGTGATTAAACTGATCAATATATATTGTTCCTGTAATGTTTTGTTGTCCCCCCAAGATAAAAGTCATTAAAATATTGTTCCTGTAATGTTTTGTTGTCCCCCAAGATAAAAGTCATTAAAATATTGTTCCTGTAATGTTTTGTTGTCCCCCAAGATAAAAGTCATTAAAATATTGTTCCTGTAATGTTTTGTTGTCCCCCAAGATAAAAGTCATTAAAATAGTTTTTAGTTCGACTGCTGTAGTAAGTGACTTATCACGTGCATTTGGTATTTTTAAGCGCAAAGCTATACAATGGCTGTCTGTGCTCTGCCCACCACCGATTTTTAGATTTATGTGTAATAAGTCCTCAAACTTACCGTTCAGCCACCAGACGCATATATATAGTAAATGTGATCTTACAAATCAAAATTATCCTCGAAACCAGGAATCGAAGGACTTTACCAATAAAGAAGACCATGTTTAAACAGTACGAGATTAATTTTATTCAACTTCCTCTAAAATAATATCTAAATTGCTCAGAAATAAAACTAAGCCAAAATATAGTACAACGTGAGATCAAGCCGGTTGTTGGATTTCATAATGATGATGATTGAGAGATTAAACCGACCAGAAAGTTTTACAGTTAGCCTTCCACTAGCTTTGCGTGAAATTCAACAAACACACAATCAAAACGTAAACTTAAAAGCATTAGCATGCCTTTCCATAATATATAATTGCTGTATAAGGACCGGCCCCGATGACTCAGCGGAAACCCTAAGGGCTTATAACACTAAAAATCGGGTTTCGATACCCGCGGTTTACAGAATGCAGATGACCCATTGCATAGCTATGCTCTTAACAACAAAAAACCATTAGAATAGTTTAATTGTCGTTTGTTGCCGTTTTTGAGATCATAACGGATTATAGATTATTTTATTAAAACCTAATGCTCTTAGTAATACATAGAAACTGGTGTTTGATGTAAAATTATGGAGTAGGTTCAAAGGGATCAAACAAAATAAAACAGAGTGAATATTTTTTGTTTGCATTTGTTACAAATCCGCATATTAGTATTGATTTATATTTTATATTTATATATTTCACGAAGAAATTTTAACAGTATATTTAATGTCATACGATCTGAACCTAACTTTAATGCAAGAAAGGTAAAAATTAAACAGTACATCCCGTTTTCGTCAAAATAATTTATTAGAATTCTAAAATTATGTACTGTGTTTTCTAATTAATTTCGACGTTTTTTATAACTCAGTACTTCATTTTCTTTCCAAAATGTTCACCAGTAAGTCAGCGGTAGACTTACGGACTTGCAACACTAAAATTCGGGGTTCGATTCCTCGTGGTTGACAGATCGCAGATAGCCTATTGTGTAGCTTTGCGCTAAAACCCCATCATGAATAATATATAAATACTAGCGTAAAAGCACGTCAAAAATGACGAAAAACCATTCGAAACCAAAACTATTCCATATAAAACTGGCAATACACAAAAGAAATATAAAATTTCCTTTCCCAGGAACGTGCTACATATTGCTCCTAAACCCACTACGTATAACTGAGCAAAAATGCTACATATTGGTGGCTTTCGATAAAAGATTAAAACATACGATGACCATGTGATTGCATGCACACTTGTTCTTCTTTTGAGTAAAAGTTGTCCTCTTCCCTACAGATAATTGGAATCTTCAGTCTGTTTTAACAAAGTTTTTTCGTAATAATTCCAAGCATAGATTTGTGCTAATTTTTTACTTATTTTTCACAAACGTTGATAGAATGTGAATGAACTTCCGTGTCTTCGATCACGGAACTCTTTCCTGTTTTCCTATTCGGATCCTACCTAGCTTGACGTCATAATGAAATGTGAATAATGTAGTGTCAAACACATAAAGCCATGCCTGATCTGGTCCTGGGAACTTTCTC